ACCTGTCATGTCTTACCTGTCCTTAACTGTCATGTCTTACCTGTCCTTACCTGTCATGTCTTACCTGTCCTTAACTGTCATGTCTTACCTGTCCTTACCTGTCATGTCTTACCTGTCCTTACCTGTCATGTCTTACCTGTCCTTAACTGTCATGTCTACCTGTCCTACAAACACACTTAAGACACAACACAACACACTTAAGACACAACACAACACACTTAAGTCACAACACAACACACTTAAGTCACAACACAACCTTATAACACTTAAGACACAACACAACACAACTTAAGACACAACACAACACACTTAAGTCACAACACAACACACTTAAGACACAACACAACCTTACAACACACTTAAGACACACAACACAACCTGCCAACACATCCTTGGACAAGTATTTCTTCAACACAAATATGAGGAAAACTAAAAATCTTGCAACACATATAACACTACACAGACGACCAGGGAGGCAGCAGGAAGTGGGGGGGACAGCAGGTAGGGGGACAGCAGGTAGCGGGGGGACAGCAGGTAGCGGGGGGGCAGCAGGTAGCGGGGGGGACAGCAGGTAAGGGGGCAGCAGGTAGTGGGGGCAGGAAGGGGGGACAGTATAAAGTGGGGGACAGCAGGTAGCGGGGGGGCAGCAGAAGTGGGGAGACAGCAGGTAGCGGGGAGGACAGCAGGTAGCGGGGGGCAGCAGGTGCGGGGGGGCAGCAGGTAGCGGAGGACAGCAGAAGTGGGGGGCAGCAGGTAGCGGGGGACAGCAGGTAGGGGGGGGACAGCAGGAAGTGGGGCAGCAGGTAGCGGGAGGGACAGCAGGTAGCGGGGGCAGCAGGTAGTGGGGGGACAGATTTCAATGTGTGTGTGTGTGTGTTGGGGCAAGTGTGGTGTGTGTGTGTGTATGTGTATGTATGCGTCTGTGCGTTGGGGGTGTGTGTATGTGTGTGGGCGTCTGTGTGTTGGGGCGAGGTGTGTGTGTGTGTGTGTGTGTGGGCGTCTGTATGTTGGGGCGGTTCTGATAATAATAATAATAATAATAATAATAATAATAATAATAATAATAATAATAATAATAATAATAATAATAATAATAATAATTATAATAATTAACGGTTTATTGAAAAAGTTGGCAGCCCGAAGGCTGAAAATATACATTGGACAAAAATGATTTATTACATACAAAGACATGGGGTGAGTGGGTCGTTTAACAAAAGCTTTCATTGTTATAGTTTACAGTTGATGGCCCGGGCCTGGGCTGGTCATTGAGACACCAGGTGGTGTGGTGTTCACGTGGTGTAGTAACCCGTCCTCGGTGTTGAAATGAAGGACCTCACGTGGTCATGGAGACACTGGGTGGTGTGGTGTTCACGTGGTGCAGTAACTCGTCCTCGGGTGTTGATATGAAGGACCTCACGTGGTCATGGAAACACTGGGTGGTGTGGGGTGGTGTCATATACTCACCCTGCTGGGTGGTGTTGTGTTATCTCGTAGTCAGGTGCATAGCCGGCCGGCCCTCTGTTGTTCCCATGGTGGACTGATTAGCACCTCCTGGTCAGAAGCCGGCGGTCAGTTCCCAGGGGTGCTTATCCCACTGGTGGGTCACGGTTCTCACTGGCACTGTCTGGTGCTGAATTCACTGGCTTAAACACTGTTCATCACTGTTCAACACTGATCCCACTTCTTTCCGAAACGAAATTGTCACTTTTGATTAAGTTGATATCCCGGTGGTGAGGATGGGTCGGGGAGAGGGACTTAGAATGGCCGAACATTAGCCAAGGGTGAGAGGCCAGCCAGCAGGAGCAGCGCCTGAATAGGTCTCGACCCTTTGGTGGTGTTAAGGTGTGTGTGTGTGTGTGTGTGTGGGCGTCTGTGTGTTGGGGCGTGTGTGTGTGGGGTATGTGTGTGTGTGTGTGCGTCTGTGTGTTGGGGCGTGTGTGTGTGTGTGGGGTGTGTGTGTGTGTGTGTGTGTGTGTGTGTGTGTGTGTGTGTGTGGGCCGTCGGTGAGTTGGGGTGTGTGTATGGGGGTGTGTGTGTGTGTGTGTGGGCGTCTGTGTGTTGGGGCGTGTGTGTGGGGGGGGGCATGTAGGAAGTGTACCACAACATGATGGAGATGCCTCAGTAACTCTATATATGAAAACCCTGGGTGTATAGGTGAGGTGAAGGTGAGTTGAAGGTGAGGTAAAGGCGAGATGAAGATGAGATGAAGGTGAGATGAAGGTGAGGTGAAGGTGACATGAAGATGAGATAAAGGAGGTGAAGGTGAGATGGGAGTGAGGTGAAGGTGACATGAAGATGAGATGAAGGTGAGATGAAAGTGAGGTGAAGGTGAGATGAAAGTGAGATGAAGGTGAGATGAAAGTGAGGAGAAGGTGAATCTTGGTAACAAACTCGCAGTATTATAAATAACGATCTTATACGTAAGTGTTTGTTGTTTAATAAGATTCTTGAAACGTGTACAGTATATAGACACGGCTCACCTGCAGTACTATAGAGTAACTATTAATCCAGAAGTAGATCACTCTTCATTAACAGGTAAAAACACACATAGTTAATATATTTCCCAGGCTAAACCAACCCTACCTCGACACACTGTACTACACGACACACTGTACTACACGACACACTATACTACACGACACACTGTACTACACGACACACTGTACTACACGACACACTGTACTACACCACACACTATACTACACGACACACTGTACTACACGACACACTATACCAACGACACACTATACTACACGACACACTATACTACACACACACTGTATACACGACACACTGTACTACACGACACACTGTACCACACGACACTATACTACACTACACACTATACTACACGACACACTGTACTACACGACACACTGTACTAACGACACACTATACTACACGACACACTGTACTACACGACACACTGTACAACACGACACACTATACTACACTACACACTGTACAACACGACACACTATACTACACGACACACTGTACTACACCACACACTATACTACACTACACACTATACTACACGACACACTATACTACACGACTACACTCCATTTAACACACCAACCACCAAGACCTCCGCCACACCACATCCCGACGAAATCCCGAGCGGCTACAAGAACCATCGCTTACAATAATCATAGCGTATAATCGAGGATAATAAACGATAATCGCAGTTTAGATTATATAATTGAGAGAAGGAGGAGGAGCGAGAGAGAGTGAAGGGTGAGAAGGGCGGAAGTCTTATATGTGTAGTGTAGGAGGAGTGGGTCTTATGGCGTGTGGCTGGTACTAATGACTGTGTTGTCACTAGCATATGATGCATGTGTGGAGTGGCCGACCAGCGTGTAGCAGAGACACACAGATGGACAAATGCTAGGACACTACCACTCACACCACCACCACCACCACTACTACACACTCACTACCACCACTACCCACCACCACCACTACCACCACCACCACTACCACCACCACTACCACTACCACAATTACCACCACCACCACCACCACCACCAGTACCACACCAACTACCACCACCACCACTACTACCACCACTACCACCACCACCACCACCACCACCACTACCACCACCACCACCACCACCACCACCACACACCACTACCACCACATACATCTTACATACATACATACATACATACATACATACATACATACATACATTGAGACACACACAGGAAGAAGGGTTGTTTTTCCACTTGATGATGCTTGTTATTTACATGGTCAGGTTTAGTTGAGTTAGGGTTAGGTTAGGTTAGGGTTAGGAGGTTAGGTTAGGAGGTTATAGCATAAAACAGATGATCGTCAAAGTGAGATGTAATCGGAAGGAGGAGAGAGACAGGGATGAAAGGTAGTGAGGAGGGGAAGGAGGGAGGTAGAGAAGAGAAGGAGGGAGGTAGGGAGGAGGGAGGGAGGAGAGAAGGAGGAGGTAGAGAAGAGGAAGGAGGGAGGAGGAGAGGGAGGAGAGAAGGAGGGAGGTAGAGAAGCAGGGAAGGAGGGGGAGAGGAGGGAGGGAGAGAAGGAGGAGGAGAAGAGAAGGAGGAGGGAGGAGGGAGGAAGGAAGGAGGAAGTAGAGAAGCAGGAAGGAGAGAAGGAGGAAGGAGAGAAGGAGGGGGAGAGAAGGAGGGAGGTAGAGAAGGGAAGGAAGGAGGGAGGAGGGAGGAGGAGGAAGGAGGGGAGGGAAGGAGGGGAGGAGGAGGGAGGAGGGAGGTAGAGAAGGAGGAGGTAGAGAAGGGGAGGGAGGAGGGAGGGAGAAGGAGGAGAAAGAGAAGTAGGGAGAGAGGGAGGAGGAGAGAAGGAGGGAGGTAGAGGAAGAGGGAGGGAGAGGAGGGAGGGAGGGAGAGAAGGAGGAGGAGGAAGAGGGAGGAGGGAGGGAGGGGAGGGAGGGAAGGAGGGAGGTAGAGAAGAGGGGAGGGAGGGAGGAGGGGAGGGAGGGAGAAAGGGAGAGAAGGAGGAGGGAGAGAAGGAGGGAGGTAGGAGAAGGGAAGGAGGGAGGAGGAAGGAGGAAGGGAGAGAAGGAGGAGAAGTAGGGAGGAGGGGAGGGGAGGAGGAGGAGGGGAGGAAGGGAGAGAAGGAGAGAGAGAGAGGGAGAGAGAGAGAGAGAGAGAGAGAGAGAGAGAGGAGAGAAGAGAGAGAGAGAGAGAGGAGAATCATGCACACAAAAAAGCTGTGGTCTCTCTCCCCAAGCCGTCTAATTGTTGATCTTACGACCCAGCTATAACTCTACCTGCTGAGGCCTGGTGGCTGTCATATGAGGGCTGAGGGCTGTCATACATGAGGGTTGAGGGCTGTTATGTACAGTAATGGGTGGGCTGAAGATGTTGCGGAAAGGGCTTCCTAGTGAGGGCTGAAGATGTCACGAGGCTTCCTAGTAAAGGCTGGAGATGTCACGAGAGGGCTGAAGATGTCCCGAGAGGACTGAAGATGTCACGAGAGCTGAAGATGTCACGAGAGGGCTGAAGATGTCACGAGAGGAAGATGTCACGAGGCTTCCTAGTAAAGGCTGGAGATGTCACGAGGCTGAAGATGTCACGAGAGGCTAAGATGTCACGAGAGGCTTCAGTAAAGGCTGAGATGTCACGAGAGGCTGAAGATGTCAGAGAGGACTGAAGATGTCACGAGAGGGCTGAAGATGTCACGAGAGGACTGAAGATGTCGAGAGGGCTGAAGATGTCACAGAGGGCTGAAGATGTCACGAGAGGGCTGAAGATGTCACGAGAGGGCTGAAGATGTCACGAGAGGGCTTCCTAGTAAAGGCTGGAGATGTCACGAGAGGGCTGAAGATGTCACGAGAGGCTGAAGATGTCACGAGAGGGCTTCCTAGTAAAGGCTGGAGATGTCACGAGAGGGCTGAAGATGTCACGAGAGGGCTTCCTAGTAAAGGCTGAGATGTCACGAGAGGGCTGGAAGAAGACAACAGAGAGGGCTGAAGATGTCACGAGAGGGGTGAAGATGTCACGAGAGGGCTGAAGATGTCACGAGAGGGGCTGAAGATGTCACGAGAGGCTGAAGATGAGAGGGGGTGAAGATGCATGAGAGGACTGAAGATGTCACGAGAGGACTGAAGATGTCCGAGAGGGCTTTAGTAAGAACAAACCACATCTCAGTCCAAGTGCGAGGAAAAATTTTGGCATTCATTTTTTTCAAGCCTGTGTGTGTGTGTGTGTGTGTGTGTGTGTGTGTGTGTGTGTGTGTGTGTGTGTGTGTGTGTGTGTGTGTGTGTGTGTGTGTGTCAAGTTGTTATATCTACAGGCTGAAGGAATGTACAGTATGTTCGACTGGCTGGGGTGTGGTGATGGGGTGAGGGGGTGAGGGTGAGGGGAAGAGGGGGGAAGGTGAGGGGGGTGAGGGGAAGGTGTGAGGGGGGGGTAAGGGGGAATGGAAGAAAGATTACCTGTTGAAGAGAATTACTATCAGGAGGAGTAAGTCTGGCGCTACGAATGCCTGTCTTGGCGAAGTGTTTTTTTTGTTTATGAAAGGAATGAGTGTAAATATTGGCCTTTTCATTACTACGTCATCTCTTATATCAAGGTTTATGCAACACAACACACACACACACACACACACAAATTTGGCTCTCAGAACCAGAAGTCTAAGTAACTTATTTAATTAAAACTGGGGAAGATAATAGGAGGGAGGAGGAAGGGAGGGGGGGGAGGAGGGAGGGGGAGGGAGGAGGGAGGGAGGGAGGGAGGGAGGGGAGAGGGAGGAGGGAGGGGAGAAGAGGATCGACTGCAAGCCAGCCTGCAAGACAAGCCAGCCAAGATAACACTGTAAACCTTAACTAATGTCTACCTTCAGTCCTGACACTTGCACACAGGCAGGGCGTAAGTGTTCATGGCGACACTGTGTACACGGGGGCGTTAATGATGTACAATGGGGCACTTGTGTACGTACATGGAGACCCATTTACGCATACGGGAAACACATATAAACGTACACAGCGGTGATTAAAACGCACATGCAGATACTTACACACGTACTGTACACTATAATTATATTACATCCACGCCCATATATAATAAGAAAGCAATGAGGATTTTAGCGTTGAGGGAATATGGCGTTGAGGGATTGTGGCGTTGAGGGATTGTGGCGTTGAGGATTGTGGCGTTGAGGGATTGTGGCGTTGAGGATTGTGGCGTTGGAGGATTGTGGCGTTGAGTGTGTGTGTGTGTGTGAAGGAAGCAAGGCTGGAGTGCGTGGTGTTTGAGTGTGCATGCTTCAGAACCTTTACGTAGGTGCTTGAGTGTGTGCTTGAGTGTGTATGTTTGAGGGAGTGTGTTTTGGACAAGTTTTATGCATGGTTTAAGTGTGTTTGAGTGTGTTTGTGTTTCAGTATGTGTTATGAGAGAGATTTCTCTGTATATGTGTGTGTATGTGTGTGTATTGTGTGTGTGTGTGTATGTGTGTGTGTGTGTGTGTGTGTGTGTGTGTGTATGTGTGTGTGTGTGTGTGTGTGTGTGTGTGTGTGTGTGTGTGTGTGTGTGTGTGTGTGTGTGTGTGTGTTGTGTGTGTGTGTGTGTGTGTGTGTATGTGTGTGTGTGTGTCCCTACCGGTCTGTCCACCGCCCCGGCCACAAGCATATAGAGCACTGCTAAGATAGACCACTAAAGTAAACAAAATATTGACTCTCCCCAGCCTGAAGTCCTGTTTCATAAGCCTGAATGGGGACGTGAGATGGTGGTTAACTCGGTGATGGTCAGTTTGAGGTCAGGATTGGAGATGGGGCGAAGGGGGGGGAGAGAGGGGTTAGGCTGGGGGAGAGGAGGTTGGGCTTGGAGGGGGAGGTTGGACTTGCAAGGGATGGGCTTTGGGGAGAGGTTGGGCTTTGGGGAGAGGTTGGGCTTTGGGGAGAGGTTGGGCTTTGGGGAGAAGTTGGCTTTGGGGAGAGGTTGGGCTTTGGGGAGAGGTTGCTTGGGGAGAGGTTGGGCTTAGGGAGAGGTTGGACTTTGGGGGGAAGGGAGAGGTTAGGTTTTAAGGAGAGGGAGAGGGAGGAGAGGGGAGAGGGGAGGATTCAAGATATAATCTATTGATGGCTGGGTGATTAAGCTGTCGAGGAGATAAATTGTGCTAATATCTGGCCATTTCCTTCATGTGAGTCACCCTGCCCACACACACACACACACACAAGCAGTGAACACATACACGTACACAAACATATACTGACTTTTAACGATAAGGACTAGTAATAATAATAATACAAATAATAATAATAAATAATAATAATACATAATAATAATACCATAAACAGTTGTACCTTAATTATTCCTTTCTTTATTCTCTTCTATTTTATCGATTCTATCTGTCTGTCTGCCCGTCCCAGTAAGTGTTCTCGTTCCTGTCGCGTTTGTTAACTCGATGCATGTATGTACATAGCCTTTACCTGTCTACCTGTGTGTTTGTTTATCTGTGTTTGTGTATCTGTGTGTTTGTGAATCTGTGTTTGTTTATCTGTGTGTTTGTTTATCTGTGTTTGTTTATCTGTGTTTGTGTATCTGTGTGTTTGTGTATCTGTGTGTTTGTGTATCTGTGTGTTTATTTATCTGTGTTTGTTTATCTGTGTGTTTGTATTACTGTGACAGTTGTTCCATGGTGTGACAGGTGTTCCAGGGTGTGACAGGTGTCTCCAGGTGTGACGGGTGTCTCCAGGGTGTGACAGGTGTCTCCAGGTGACGGGTGACTCCAGGGTGTGACGGGTGTCTCCAGGGTGACGGGTGACTCCAGGGTGTGACGGGTGTTCCAGGGTGACGGTGACTCCAGGTGGACGGTGTCTCCAGGGTGTGACGGGTGACTCCAGGTGACGGTGTCTCCAGGGTGTGACGGGTGACTCCAGGGTGTGACGGGTGTCTCCAGGGTGTGACGGGTGTCTCCAGGGGTGTGACGGGTGTCTCCAGGTGCACGGTGTCTCCAGGGTGACGGGTGACTCCAGGGTGTGACGGTGTCTCCAGGTGTGACAGGTGACTCCAGGGTGTGACGGGTGTTCCAGGGTGTGACAGGTGACTCCAGGGTGTGACGGGTGTCTCCAGGGTGTGACAGTTGTTCCAGGGTGTGACAGGTGACTCCAGGGTGTGACAGTTGTCTCCATGGTGTGACAGGTGTCTCCAGGGTGTGACGGTCTCCAGGGTGACAGGTGACTCCAGGGTGTGACGGTGTCTCCCAGGTGTGACGGTGTCTCCAGGTGTGACGGTGACTCCAGGGGTGACGGGTGTCTCCAGGGTGTGACAGGTGACTCCAGGTGACGGTGTCTCCAGGGTGTGACAGTTGTCTCCAGGGTGACAGGTGTCTCCAGGGTGTGACGGTGTCTCCAGGGTGTGACGGTGACTCCAGGGTGTGACGGGGTTCCAGGGTGTGACAGGTGACCCAGGGTGTGACGGTGTCTCCAGGGTGTGACAGTTCCAGGGTGTGACAGGTGACTCCAGGGTGTGACAGTTCCATGGTGTGACAGGTGTCTCCAGGGTGTGACGGGTGTCTCCAGGGTGTGACAGGTGACTCCAGGGTGTGACGGGTGTCTCCAGGGTGACAGTTGTCTCCAGGTGTGACGGGTGTCTCCAGGGTGTGACAGTTGTCTCCAGGGTGTGACAGGTGTCTCCAGGGTGTGACAGGTGACTCCAGGGTGTGACGGGTGTCTCCAGGGTGTGACAGTTGTCTCCAGGGTGACAGGTGACTCCAGGTGTGACGGGTGCCCCAGGGTGTGACAGTTGTCTCCAGGGTGTGACAGTTGTCTCCATGGTGTGACAGGTGTCTCCAGGGTGTGACAGGTGTCTCCAGGGTGTGACAGGTGACTCAGGGGTGTGACAGGTGTCTCAGGGTGTGACAGGTCTCCAGGGTGTGACAGGTGACTCCAGGGTGTGACGGGTGTCTCCAGGGTGTGACAGGTGACTCCAGGGTGTGACAGGTGTCTCCAGGGTGTGACAGTTGTCTCCAGGGTGTGACAGGTGTCTCCAGGGTGTGACGGGTGTCTCCAGGGTGTGACAGGTGACTCAGGGTGTGACAGGTGTCTCCAGGGTGTGACAGGTGACTCCAGGGTGTGACAGGTGTCTCCAGGGTGTGACAGTTGTCTCAGGGTGTGACAGGTGACTCAGGGTGTGACAGTTGTCTCCATGGTGTGACAGGTGTCTCAGGGTGTGACAGGTGTCTCAGGGTGTGACAGGTGACTCCAGGGTGTGACGGTGTCTCAGGGTGACAGTTGTCTCCAGGGTGTGACAGGTGTCTCCAGGGTGTGACAGTTGTCTCCAGGGTGTGACAGGTGTCTCCAGGGTGTGACAGTGACTCCAGGGTTTCGGGTGTCTCCAGGGTGTGACAGTTGTCTCCAGGTGTGACAGGTGACTCCAGGGTGTGACAGGTGTCTCAGGGTGTGACAGTGTCTCAGGGTGCGACAGTTGTCTCCAGGGTGTGGACAGGTGTCTCCAGGGTGTGACAGGTGTCTCCAGGGTGTGACAGGTGTCTCCAGGGTGTGACAGGTGTC